TATAAAGGATAGGTTTTACACACCACTAAATATTCAGCAATGGGAACTATATATCACTAACTTGAGTATTGAGATGATGGAAAGTAAGATGTATTATAAACTAGCATTAGTTACATGTCTTATCAGGAAACAAACAGGATGGTATTTCAAGAAGGAATAACTGAATATACACCTATATTCCATGGTCCCTATTTAGAATATTATAGGTATGATCACTTATATCTGGAAAAAGACGTATATTTGATCCCTGAAATTACCTTAAGATTCCACCCGAGGTATGAGTCATCTCAAATACTCAAATTGTTCTATGATACATGACCGCCACCTGGCGGGCAGGTGAGAAATAGCTTATGTACACACATTTCTCAACTAGCCAATCAAGAAGCCTGGTGGGAAGGTATCTTAGAACAATGGATTAGTTTGGTATAAAAGCCCTTGTACCTTTAAGAAAAAAAAAGAACCTCATCAAGAAAAAACTCATCAAAAGAAAAGACCTCAGCAAAAGAAAACCTGACTGAAGAAAGACCTGATTCTGAATAACTACTCTTCCATACTTTCAAACTTCCTAAAACTTTAACTAAATTTCTAAACCTCTATCCTTATAACTTCCTACATTCTCCCATACTGAATATCTATCACTTGCTATCTATAATATCATTTCTAAAGGCGTTCCACTGCCAGCTAAATCCACGGGAGAGTTGCCTAGTCTGAATGCCGGGTGCGGTGAGATTGTTTATTTGATTTTGTATTACCTATTTTCTCTGTTGTGTGGAATCATAGAATTACCTTAGTGTATCACAACAATATTGGGTAGTTAGATATATGTAGAGAGATCCTGTTTTACTGTTAAAAATTGTTTGTGCCATATTATAATTTTTTTCATATTTCATATTGAATATTAATAATCAAGAGTATATAAAATATCAAGGGCTAGCTTCTTGCAATCCTATGGCCACGGCTTGTGAGAATATAACCTTTGAGATACTCGAAATTATTAATTATTAATAAATTTAATAAATAATCAGATCATTTAAAAATTGTGATATTGATGTAATTAGTTAGAAACCTTATTATTGTGTCTTACATTGGTAGGATATATCTTTGATTATGTGTATCAATATTCATCTATCACCAGTCTTTTGCGTTTTGTGTTAATATATATATAATTTTTGTACATAAATAAATTTTTATATTTATCTATTATAAGGCAAATTTTGTGTGTATGGTACAAAATCATATTGGCTAAAAGAATTCAAGGTATAATAATAAGTGGTGATCAAATTAATTGGTTCACTAAATATTTGCCGTATTTTAACGGCTGGAGGCACTGTAATATTTCACCTAAGGGAAAGGGACACGCCCTTTATAAGTAAAATATATCCTTACATAAACCACCACAGTACCACTAGCCCCTCCCTCCTAGATGTAAGCTCCAAGGAGCAGGGCCCTCAAATCCCTCTTGTATTGAACTGGATTGTTGCTGTATTGTCTCCCGTTATATTGTAAAGCGCTGAGCAAACTGTTGGCGCTATATAAATCCTGTATAATAATAATAATAATATACAATTTCATACTTTTAGCTTTCCTTTCACAGAGTTGCTGCAGTGAATGTAGTGCAAAATAAACTTAAAACATAATGTAAACGTAACTGTAAACATAACGTAAAACAGTATTACTAAAACTGGCCATAGATGGATCGAAATTCAACTCTTCAGCAGGGACCAGATGAATTTTGATCCATCTATGGGCAGGCTGATTGTACAGAAGTCGATAGCTTGATTGACTTCTGTACAACTAGCCTGTTGGAAAATCTTTGCTCGATCAGTGCCCCCGGCCATAGCTGGCGGTGCTGATGAGTGTATTCTGACAGTGAGGAAGCCTCTCCGCTGTCAGAATACAATAGCTCTATGGCAGGGATTCCCACATCCACCTTGAATGTGTGGAAGGGTGAATTGATTCATTTTCTTTCATTCAAGCCACTGATTGGACAAAAGAAAATGAATCATGTATGGTTTACCACGAGTGCAGGAAGGCTTCTGTGCTGCTGGCTGCAGCCAATGAGATTTCCACTTTTACTATGTTAAAAATATAAGGAAGAATCCTATTGGTTGCTGTTGAATCACAGTCCTCTTTTTGTAGAATGACAAAAAGTGACAAATGCAAGCGTTTAGAGGAAAAAAAAAAAACCATCATGGTTGTTTTACTAAAGGAATAGAAGATGTCCACTTTTCAAAGTGAATTTTCACTTACTGAAAGGGAAACTGTGATCACTTTGAATACCCAGTCATATGAAAGGTAAATTTAAAAAAAAAAGTGGATTTTTTTTCCATATGTTACAGTATTGGATGATTAAAGTCAGCACAGCTTCACCTCATTCACAAAACCACGTGAAAATTCCCTTTCATTGGTGAACAACCTCCTTTAGTAAAACAACCCCATTGTCCTTACAGCCTTAAAAAGACTCTGTCACCAATTTAAACTATTGCAAGTAAAATTAAAACAGAGGAATCAAGTATTTAAATGTAGTGTTTTTTATTTCCATAAATGATTTTTTTATTCACTTGCAATGTGCCTCTGAATTGCTAGAAAATGTGACCATTCCAGGATGAGTCAATTCCTTAACACAGTCCTCTCCCGACACATCATGGCCATCTCCTGTTCTGGGAGTGTTTAATTACTGTATTTGCTGGCCCAGTACCTCTGGCCCTCCTCTCACCCCTCTATATACCCGTTTATATAGCAGCTTGGGGGAGCAACAGCTCTGAGTTTGCTGGGGCTGTTGACATCACATCCAAGATGGCAGCACCCAGTAACAGTTTCAGGGCTTTTTGATGCCTACACAAGCAATGCTTTTACAGGTAAATGAAATGCATAAAATACAATAAATGCACAAAGCAACCTATGAGAGGAAAGTTGAAATGAATGATCTGGTGGCAGGGTCTCTTTAAACCCTCTGACAGTATCATCTATCTTTCAGTGACAGTTAGTGAGATCTCTACTTTGCACCGCTGTTGTGACAATTTTGTGGGTCTCCCACTATCTCCACTGCATTTTTTAAATTTAATATGGAGAATGTAACAGGAGAAGTTGAAACACACCAAATTGGATGGAACACACAGTACTCCTGGGTGGGACAGTAGCAGAGCCAAGAATTATGTCAGGGAGATCTCTACGGAGTGCCTAGGAGCTATAAGCAGCAGGCAGGAAGCTTAGATCATTAGACTCCACCTATAACTGGATTATCACCTATGGGTAGGATGACCCTGAATACACCAAATAAAAGAAGGCACTTAGTGGATAATTCACTTCAAAAGTATGAAGTTACCAGGAAAAGAACCCGACCAGCTAAACAAATCTTTGTCCTTTTTTCATGAATTGTTTTCATATTGCACATACCTATTATCTGACCAGAAACACTAAAAAAGTAAGGAAAAAGCCACGTCCTTTTATTTAGGAACTGCAATGGACCTCTATCAGCAAATATAAGCACAGACTCGAATGAATATCAGTGAGTTCTGTGCTGCTGAAACCTATCCTGGGAACTGTCCATGGCCATTACAGAAGGTTCTCATAGACAAGCCCGAGTTTCTCAAGCATTTGCTTAGTATGTACCTGTTCATTAGATACACTATCATTTATATATTTATTTATTTCAGGTACATATATAGTGCCATCAATTTACATATAATGCACATTCTCATCAGTCCCTAACCCTCAAGGGGTGTACAATCTAAGGTCCCTAACTCACATTTTTATATACACACACTAGGGCTAATTTAGACAGGAGCCACTTAACCTACTAACTGATTAACTATTGATTCTTTAAAAACTGAATGCTTCATTCATAATATTTTTCTTGCTTCTGCTTAGTGAAACTGTTCTTTGCCCACACATTCTCATAGACAGTACAGATGTGAACACCACCCCCTGCCCACCACGCACACATTTTATAAAGGGGGATATACCATAAACTGTACACCAGGGACCTATCCAGTCCTTGACTGCTGTCTTCTTAACCTGCCCCAGGTTGCCTCTTCTGCCTAGCAGCAAGAAGTGCTCTATGGCGAATGAGCACTTACAGCAGAAGAGTAACAGGGCATATGAAGTACACCCAAGGTACTGGTTGATAGGTGTTTTTTACAGTCTTTTATACTTGTATAGTACATGGGTACTAACATATTTTCTCATTATACATGCAGATTCTGCTGTGTGAAGAAACTTCATCTCCGTTTCCAATGATCACACAGGAAGAAAAAAATCCTGAGTTTATAACCCTTAACCACTCTATCCAGAACCACAAAAATAGAAATCCTCTTTAAAGTGAAAGTGCATTCTTATAAATGAAATATTTTCACAGTACAGACGTGAACCCCAGACATTGTATGAAAGGGATATAACAAATTATACACTATTCATCCCACTGCCTTCTTAATCTGCCCCAAGTTTCCTCTTTTGTTCAGCAGTAAAGAATGCTCTAAACCACAGGTGTCAAACTGGCGGCCCTTCAGCTGTTGCAAAACTACAAGTCCCATCATGCCTCTGCCTTTGGGAGTCATGCTTGTAACTGCCAATCTTGCAATGCCTCATGGGACTTGTAGTGTGGCAACAGCTTGACACCCGTGCTCTAAAATGATGGAGAGAGCTCACAGACCACTAACCAAAAAATTGAGTCATTTTATTACCAAGCAACTCTGGAATCTCTTTGGAAGCTGAAGGAGGTAGTGATCTAAGAAGCCACATTCTGTTATGTGTCAGGCTCATGTATTGGTCCAGCACCGGGAGCCATAAACAAAAGCTGGAGGCTCATTTACCTGAATGATAACATGAGAACCTAAACACCTTAGCAACCAAAGCATTTTACACTTACATGTTCTAAAGTTCAAGATGGAGTAGAGAAAGTCATAAAGAAATAGAAATCCTGTTAACTGATAGATGGCTAAAATAAAATAAGTGGCCGTTAACATTGGACTGTCTTTACTTTGCGAGGTTACGGCTTCCTCTCAGCTAATGACACAGGAAGATTTCTTCTCCTCCTCATACTCCAAGATGTACTCTGGGTAGACCTGGAACTTCTCAAACACCACAAAGATGGACGGAGTATGGATGTTGTCCACGCAGGAGTCATAACACTCAGTTTTGTTGTATTTCTGAGGTGGGCGTCTCATCTTGGAATCTCCTACAACAAAATCACCGACCAGCACATGGACCACAAACATGATTCGTGTTCCAGCACGTGTGGGCACAGAGTAGTTGTGCGAGTAGGATGCATCTCTTGCAAAATAACTTCCTGTTAGGAAAAAAGTTTACAAGTTATATTTGTTGTGATAATAAAAAAAAATGTGTTTCCTTGCTTACAGAATAAGAAAGGCTCCTACTGCATTATGAGAACAAAACGTACTAAAGCCTATCTAGAGAGAATATTTTTTATTTGTTATGGATGGGTGATATTTGGAGACAAGATTGGTGATGTAATTTGGGGAAGAGTTATAAATGGCTTTATATATTATTGTTATTATTTTGAATTTTATTGGTTGGGCAATGGGAAGCCAGTGGAGGGATTGGCAGAGATGGATGGCAGATATGGAACGGCTGGTAAGGTGGATGAGTCTGGCAGCAGCATTCATGATAGACTGAAGAGGGGATAGCCTGTGATGAGGTAGGCCAATGAGGAGGGAGTTACAATAGTCAAGGCAAGATATAACAAGGGAGTGAATAAGTTGCTTAGTAGTTTCTGAGGTTAAGAACGGGCGTATCTTGGAGATGTTGCGGAGGTGAAGTCTACAAGATTTGGATTTGGAGCTGAAAAGACAGATGGGAATCTAGGATTACACCTAGTACCTTGGCATGAGGGGAGGGACTGATGGTTGTATTATTGATCTTGATGGAGAAGTCAGGGGAAGGGGCACGGGCTGGAGGGAACAGTATGAGAAAGATTGAGTTTGAGGAAGTGGAGTGACATCCATGCTGATATGTCACTTAGTAGGTTAGTAATGCACGAGAAGACTGAAGGGGTGAGGTGAGGAGTAGAAAGGTAGATTTGTGTGTCATCAGCATAGAGATGGTACCTGAAGCTATATAAAGCAAAAGTCCATGTATCTGTGTAATCAATAAAAAGAAAAAAGTGTGTCCTTCGTATCCTTAAAACGCAATAAGGAGTGACCAGGCTGATCCCCTTGACAATGTCTGTTTGGACGAAATGTACTTTGAGGCAGGACGAAGTCTGTACTGACTTCACCCAAGCCAGTCTGGAGCCGGCACCAATGGCGTTTTATGATTATGTGCTTACTCTGGAGCTTTGTAAGTAGAATTTTATTTGATTCTATTAAATATTTGACGGTATGACACTATTGGAGTTAATTTGTTTGGCCAAGCAATCTGGCTGAGCAGGAAGGGAGATTGGAGTGAAGGTTAATATCAAGATACTGCATGTGTTCCCTGTACAAATGACACCTATGAAGCAAGACCTATGCAGCTTCACGCTAGTTTAGACCACCCATAATTTGGGATCTAATGATCCGGTAAGAGGCTGTATAACTAGCGGTGGAGGGCGCACTGGTCACTCATCATTGCGTTTGAAGGATATTAAGTACACACTTTTTTCTTTTTTATTGATTACACAGATACATAGACTTTTGCTTTATATGGACTTTCACAGGTTTCACAAATTTGTTGAATATATTTGTTTATGTTAAGGAATAACATTTAATTGTTATATTGATTTATATAGTTTTTCGCACACAGCGCAACAATATCACTTTGATTTCAGTCAGTTTTTGTCTGAGCCCTTAACAATTGGTTTAATTACAAGGACCAAGTAAGTGCTCTTTTTTTTTTACAGAACAGGTTCTTGTTTTTCTGAAAGGATATTTTTTATGACTGACCTTGTCCATACACGGTGCCATTAGTGCCGCAGACACGCCAGTCAAAGTTGTCCCTGCAAATGGCATCGATATTGGCCCCGTCTGTTCCATGGAACAACTGCCGTTCATTCACATTGATTCCTGAATTCTTCTTCTTCATCTGATCCTTCTGCCTAAGATGAAAAGAGAAAGAGGTCTAAGTTACAAAAATGTAACTCTGCTGTTATTGGTCTGTCTTACCATTGCTATTTTAGAAATTTTAAAGCATAAATATACCATCAGAGGGAAAAGGGTTAAGGGTTAAAGGATACGTTCACCTTTCGTAACATGTTACATGTTACACCCATATTAAGGGTGTAATATATAACATGTTACAAATGGACTGGCTCCTTGGTAGTGTTGAGTCTAGCACAGTGATTGTTTCTGCTCCTTTCTCTCAGCAATGTCTATGAGTCAAGTGTAACATACTGAAAACAACACACAGAGACATTATTATTATACAGGATTTATATAGCGCCAACAGTTTGCTCAGCACTTTACAATATAGAGGGAATATAGGGGGTACCTTAAATAAAATGACAAATAAGGGTCTTATGTGGTTAACATTCAAAGGCATAAATGAGCATATAGTAAGGAAGTTAAGAAACTTCTCATCTTGCATATTCTTAAGGCAGATAAGGCTACAGTTGCATAACGTACAACGTACTAAACTGCCGAACAAAAGATATTTGTGCAAAAAAATTTCACTGTTTTAGGTATGAGTGGGCAAAGACCAACTTTTCGTAAAATCATATTTTTACTACTAAATTCCACACATCTGAGGGCAGAAGCGCAAATAAAAATCTGCCAATATAAAAAGTTCCATCTGGTGTACCATTTCAGGAATCACATTCTAAATATATAAAACACAATGCTAAAAAAACAACAATATTTGGCTATAAATTGCATGTAGCCAAAAAATGCGATGCAATAGACTTTTGTAAGGAAGGAGTGTGTACCTATGTTTTGCAAATATTTAATTCTGTATTGTAAGACATCATTAAATCTATATTGAAATAAGTACCTATATTGTTTGAGATTACATGTGGCAGTAAAATTGAGAAAGGACAAGTAGGGATTTAGTTTTCTACAATACAAAATTTTTTTCCTGGTCCTGTAGAGTCTTTGGGTTTAAAAGTTTAACATAAATCTGTGTGTTTACTGGCCTATTATAACCGGACATTATTTACTGGACATTATAAGGTACAGACATTATCTCAACAGTCAGGGATGCTCATCACATTAAAAAAATGCTGATGATTAAATGTTAAAGGTACAAGTCTCTTGTTTTACTGGTTCGAAGCAGTAACCAACATACCACTGATAGACCTGCCAGAGGGAGGGGTTCTGAACACGCCACATTTTCTTCACCACATGCCCGGAGACTGTCGTGGTAAACATTTTCACAATGTTTGAGAACTCTTCAGAATTCTCCAGTACAAGGACTTTCTGAAAGCAAAATGAGGATGCTTTTAATGCAATGCATACTTGCTTTACAGAAGTTACAGAAGAGTACTTGTCATTGGTAGATAGTGGTAGACATTTTGTAAGCATAAATTAGGTTTAACCTTTCAATACCTGATATTGCTGTGGCATGATAATGTGGTTATACAGTACTTTCTGAAAAATGTTGCATACAAATACTGTCTTTATTAAATGAGTTGTGGAGTTTTCTTTCAGTCATACCTGATACCCGACCTCTGGCATGGCCTTCAAGCACCAATGCAGTGGATAATTTACCGTCTTGAGAATGGAGTTCGATGACTTTTGTACAGAACTGTCTGCAGCAGATTTGGTGCTATAAGATAAAATCAAAAAATATCGACCTAGTGGTTACTCAACAACATTAACTGCTCTATCATTTCACTACTGGTCATGATCAAAATTCAGTTTGACCAAATTTAAAAAAAGAAATCTCCAAACTCAAAATGGCACTAAGGTCAGTGGAAGACCATTTTCATGTTCATGCTTCTTTTGCCCTTCGGAGGGCTGCTAAAGAAACTATTATCACGGAAGTAGCATGGGAAGCCCCCTATACACACAACCTTCATGCAGCGCACTGTCTCTTTCTAAAAGGTATCATTTTTACACACTTTTACTGGCCATGCCATTTGGGTGACATAATGTATACTGGCCCTTCAAAGGGCCAAGAATGACCATCAAAACCTTTTCCTTTCAAAATTCTAGTTAGAGAATTTCAAACTCTTGAAATTTGAATCTCAACATTTATTAGTACATACAGTCAGTGTGATATTTATGTACTTATTACCTTCCTTTCAGCATCTTCACTTTCTCAAAATCCAGGAACTTAGGCCTGCGGCGGACTTCCTTCTCAGTTTTATAATAAACATTCCTCTGCTTCATCTCTGGTGGTAAAAAGGTAAGAAACTTCTAAGCTCAACTAGTATGAGGTAATGGTCAGAAGAGGTGAAGGTTTGAGGTCTAGTTTGGGAAGCATTGCTGTAGTGTGGCAACACATCATTGGTAAATGTACCACAAAGTGGACCAGAAAGAGGACATTGGCCCTGATTCACCAAACTGCAAAGTCGAAAAGTTTCCACATGTTAAAAGAAATAGCTAAACCTTAATTCAAGAAAGTACATGCATTAGTATGACATAAAGTCATGTGTATTCCTCTGATGAATATTTGCCCATGCAGGGGTAGGGGGAAATCCTCCAATGGGGACACCAGTTCTCATGATAAGTGTCTAAATAGGGATAACTATGTTGGAGAAATCTCCTTCATTTTTGTTGTGTCTCTGATGCAGAAAGTGAGGGGAAATCTGTCCCTAAGGAACACAAACATCAAAAAAGAACAAAAACTGACAGGGGTCTTTATCAGTTCTTCTATTTCCTTAACTAAAAATAAAAAAGTAAAAGGTTTGGCTTTACATACATTTTAACATGCACTAATTTGCAATTAAATTTGATTGCACATCCATTTTTCACAACTTCAAGTTCACCCATAATGTTAGCATGTGAAAACAGGTCACAATAAGACTTGAATTAGGAGAAATATACTCCTTCTCTCTCGGTCTTCATCAATGTACTGTACCTGTGAATATGTATGGCTCTATTAACCTATAGCTATGAGATTTTGGTTCAGCAGTTCTGTGGGTGACCACACAATTTACACTTCAATGCCCCTATAAATGTTCTGCTCAGTGCATGGGCACATTGTTGCCGCTTTGGTGGTGTGCTCACCTTGACAGTTGATGATGTAATTCTGGCCTCCAGCATTGAATTTGATGGTCCCACTGGGGTCAGAGAGGAAGACGGTTTCCAGGTCTGATGAGCAAATGGAGGAACTCACTTTCTTTGTGTTCTAGAACAACATGCCTTCATGAGTTTCATTATCTTATATTGCATTACCTCAAATTCAGCGTAAGATAGAAGTAACAATTTTATAAGATGAGCTAGAAATGACACAAGATAAGTTCAGATATTGTTAGGTGCTAAAGAGCCAGGTCACCCAGCAACCTCTTATGTTGAACAGGGACTCCGGAGTCCAAATCTTTCTACTGTAGCTTCCATCTCTGGTCCCCATGGCTTCTGGTAACTCAGAAACCTTTGCTACAATTCACAGTATTTGAAAAGTCAAGTAGGGATGGTGGAAATCCCTTATAATATTCACAGTAGATGTGGGAGCTCAGCACAAACATCTCATTAATACAGTCCCTGAGAGATAGAAGAGACTATCAAGCAATGCAGCTTGCCAGAACCAACCTTTATCTGAAATATCTGTTTTGGTTAAACTGATCTTTTACATCTAATAATAAAATTTGTTCCATAGACTTCACTCACCGTTTGGCCATACATGGTCCAGGTGCCAAACTCATCCTTCCAGTACCAAATCCATTCAGTGGTCAGTACATATTCAGAGGGCTTTGTGACAGATGACGGGGTGGTGAGTCTGCGGACACGTCTGGTACCCATTTTCATGGTTTGGAAATCAACTGACAGGTACCTGCAATACAAGGCAGGAGGTGGAGATATTTCATTCCTTTTTCAGGATAGCAGCCTGAAATTTCAAGGACATTATTGTATTGCTACAATTACTAGTGCATTGGTGTTAGAAAGCATTAACTTTGTTAAGAGCTATGAATTGAATAATGCAGTAGTCTATACGTTAAAGGAAAACTAGAGTGGTTTGGTGTCAATTTTCTTTTTTTTTTAGTTTTACAACTTTTTAACCCAATGCTGCATATAATGTTTGTAATTGATACATCTTTATTTTAAAAATTGAGTGCAAAGTGCACCCATGACATGGGTTTTGCAGAGCACCAAGGGGGTTTTCAACAGAAACACAGTGGCTAAGTGGTTAATACTTTTGCCTGGCAGTGCTAGGTTAGTTGGTTTGAATCCAAGCCTTGGCACTACCTGCACAGAGTTTGCACGTACTCCCTGTGTCTGCATGGGTTTCCTCCACACTCCAAAAACATTCTGGTAGGTTAATTGGCTCCTATCTAAATTGGCCCTAGTATGTGTATGTATGAATGGGAGTCTCTTGAAGGGTCAGGGACTGATGTGAATGTACAATGTATGTAAAGCACTGCATAAATTGATGGTGCTATATACATAAGTACCTATAATAAAAACACAGTAGAAGCTTTATTCCTTTTAGCCTGTCTCTCTCTCCAGTTGAAACTCATATGTAGTTGTTAGTACAGTTACTGCTTTGATGCATTCGGCTATGTGTGATATAAGCTATCCAGCTCTGTAAATAACTCCCACAATGGTGAGATTTTCACGCAGACATTTGTGTCTCAGTCCCTCATACAATTTTGAGATTTCCCTGCACTAGTTTTGTCTCCGCCATGCCACAATGGTGAGATTTCGCTGAAGTAGTTTGTGTCTTCATCCCACCCACAATGGTGAGATTTCCCAGCACAGGTTTGTGTCTCTGCCCCTCCCACAATAGTGGGATTTCCCATCACAGGTTTGTGTCTCTGCCCCTCCCACATTGGTGAGATTTCCTGCAGTCTCTGCCCCTCCCACAATGGTGGGATTTCCCATCACAGGTTTGTGTCTCTGCCCCTCCCACAATGGTGGGATTTCCTGTGTCTCTGCCCCTCCCACAATGGTGGGATTTCCCATCACAGGTTTGTGTCTCTGCCCCTCCCACATTGGTGAGATTTCCTGCAGTAGATTGTGTCTCTGCCCCTCCCACAATGGTGGGATTTCCCATCACAGGTTTGTGTCTCTGCCCCTCCCACAATAGTGAGATTTCCCGGCACAGGTTTGTATCTTTGCTCCTCTCCAACTGTATGATTTCCATGCAGTTTGTGTCAGTGATCATAATGTGGTCTCTCACACTCCAGCAACAACAATAACTGTTTAGATGATATTTGAGTGACACTTGTAGCTATAGAAAGGCTAATGCAGTGGAAGCACACCGGACCAATTCATGCCCTCATTTAACAATAACAAATGGCATGTCACTTAATTTATATTCCCTAATAATTTATCATGTTATCACTGTATAGACTATAAAATGGTACATCCTGTATTTTTGTATTCTTTCAAAGTAAGCTGGCATATTCTGTTTCTGTTATGACTCCGGGGGTGAGAGGCACCTACCTGAAAATGTTTGGATCACTATATGCCTGCTCCAGATTTTCCATATTTGGAAGGTCCTCCCAATCTGTTCCGTTGAACTCCTGCCAGCGGTACGGTAGGTAGTAGTGCATATTGGAGCAACAACCTGCCAGTCAAGAAAAACATTATCTTTGGGGCAATAATATTTGCAGATCTTGTATTATTAGACTCACTTTGTGCACCTACATATTAGTAAAAAAAAAAAACCCACAACAAAACACTGGTAGTTATCCCTAGAAAAATAAAATTTCCAATGTTTTACTTATGTCTCGTAATTGACTAATTAGTTTAAAATAAGTCTTATCAGAATTTGGTACACATTTACCTCCAAGCCTGCAGAACTTCCAAATATAGGACAGACAAATCTCTGGGGTTTTATCCACCGATGCTAAAATAAAAGGAAATGGAAAAGAAAATCATGTGCAGAACTTGTGATTTTCTACTACTCATTTCTTTAAAGTATTAAGATGACTGGCATTAACGAGTCCTGCTGCGCTAATGTATTCTGCCAGCGGGGAGCCTTCCACACCAGCAGATACAATGATCAGTAATGCTGGCTATAGCCGGTGGCACTGATCATTCGGAAAAAAACCTAACCGGCTAGTTGTACACATGTCGATCAATAGATCAACTTGTGTGCAACCAGCTAGCCCATGCATGGATGGAAATTCGTCTGGTTCTTGCTGAGCCAGCCGAATTTCGATCCATGTATGGCCGGCTTAAGGAGAGGACGGAGGGTTTAGTTCTGCTTTAACTGCCTTTTACCAACTGTCACAACATGAGGTAGGGGTATTTTTTTTCTACTGTCAAAATGAGAAATAACTCAACTGTTAGTGGCCTCTGGACATATAGGTCTTTCTATGATCGGTTGTTGGGCAGAGTGCTGCAAGTCTCTGCTGTTGCTTGTTTAAATAGAGTTTTAAAGTGTATTCCTTGCTGAAAATGTTTTTTTCTAGATTTAGATAGAGTTGGAAAAAGTTAGAACCCCGGTGAGGGATTTATTGCTTTCCATATATATTTTAAATAGATCCAGTATATTACTGATTACTACTGTATCCACCTTTTAGTTTTAATGCTGGTTTAAAAATATATATTCTATTTAGGTATCCGTTCTTAGCTCAGAAAGTACATTCTATTGCTTGCAGCTTTCTCCAAATTCTCAGCTGTGATCCAACTTCCTGTTAGCGGGTGGATATGTTCGTTCCCCACTGTAAGTAACAATGTAGCCACCCTCTCTTTCTCACTCTAAAGATAAGCAAGGGATTATGGACTATGGGATGTGTGCTGTGAATGGAGCAGTGCTCATAACCACGACTAATGTGTTCTGTTCGGTATAAACTACAGAAGTGAAGGGGAAAAGGAGAGGTTCGGGAGCCCACAGAGGATGTTACAAGGAGGCAGAAAAACACAGAAATTATTTCATGAAAAATAAATTACAGGGTGATGGGCATGGACTATTTTTGAAAAAAAAGATATGACTTAGTGCCACTTTAACTTAGCCAGGGCTAAAAGAAACACTGTCACTTTGATCAGCCAAGGTAAGTTACAGTGTCTACAGATAGGCCCTAACACAGACAAGCAAAAAGGAAGAAATCTTGCTGAGGTCACCATACATTTTCTCCATCACGCCATCTCCATTAAGGGTCCACTTTGACATTAAACTGGTTGTAAACCTCAGACATGAAAACTGAACAACGCACATATTTATATAACGTTTACATGCCTCTTTCCAAAGCATTAAGTGTAATTTATCTGTGCTGTCTAATTCCTCAGTTATCAGCATGAGTCACTTCTGACCAATTTTACTGACACCAAGAGCTAGAAAGGTGACAGGGGAGTGACCTCCTTGACACAGCTTGTGATTGACAGCCTCAGCTCTATTCCTATGTGAATGATGTACACCCCTTCCCTCCAATCAGCTCTCAGAGCTCTTGTACAGTGTGTAACTGCAACTTACTACCCCCTGCTTTTTGAGTTTGAAATATCTTTTTAATCATCTTTTACAATTATGTACAGGACAATTGGCTACAGATAAAACAGGTACAATGTATGCAGGAGGATTTGTTTCACCTCTGTTTATCACCTGAGGCTAGTCACTTCATTGGATATACATTAAGGTTTACAACCACTTTAAAAAGGCAATTTGCCTTTTTATATTAACCAATGTCATCTGCTTACCTTTCATTGGTACTGGCAAATGAGTATTGGTGGCTGATTGAGGTTGGGAAACTGTAGAGTTGGTGTACTTTGGTGGCAGATGGAAAGAATGATTTTCACCTATAGTTATGGTATATTGGTTGCCTCTTGATGCATCAGATTTTGTCATTGGTTCTACACTGGCATACGGTTTGTTGGAAGCTGTATCAGTTGTGAAAGAACGCCTAGACAAACTGGGAGGATTTGATGGAGTTGAAGATGAATTAAACTGAACAGTAGAAGTAACTGGTTTTGGTCGAGCAGTATATAGATCCTCTCTAGTAGGTGATGTTTTCAATGTTGGTGAAGATGTTTGGACAACATTAGCTGGACCAGTCACTAAAGAGCTCTCCGTCTTATCAAATTCCCTAATCAGTTTTTGATAAGAAATAGATGAACTTTTTGTTGACAAATTCTCTGTTATGTGGGAAGCTGCTGACGTTTTTGGTGAAGCAAAATCCGGGCTAATACTTGTTTCAGTCTTAAGTGAAGCCCCAATAGGTGAAGTTACTGGTGTTGTTGAAGGTGGTGATTGAACCTTGGATGCTCCTGCCTCTGGAAGATTTAATGGTCTGTCAGATACAATAACTTGTTTTGGTTGAGCAGCATATGACATTCCTCCAGTAGTGTACAGTGATGTTTTTGATGTTGATGAAGATCCTGGAGAAATATTGCCTGGGCCAGGCAATAAAGGACTCACCATTCTACCAAGTTCCAAAGTATGTTTTTGGTCAGGGATAAATGAACTTTTTACAATCGTGTTCCCTGTTACTTTGGAAGCTGCTGAAGGTTTTGGTGAAACATTATCTGTACTAAGTCTTGTTTCAGCTTTAAGTGGGGCCCCCATAGGTGAGGTTACTGATGTTTCTGAAGGTGTTGCTTGAACCTTGGATAGTCCTGCCTCTGGAGGATTTAATGGTCTGCCAGATATACTAACTTGTTTTGGTTGAGCAGCATATGACATTTCTCCAGTAGTGTACAGTGATGTTTTTGATATTGATGAAGATCCTGTAGAAATATTGACTGGGTCAGGCAATAATGGACTCGCCATCCTACCAATTTTCATATTATCTTTTTGGTCAAGGATGACTGAACTTTTTACAGTAGAATTCCCTGGTACGTTGTAAGCTGCTGAAAAATTTTGTGAAACATTATCTATACTACGTCTTGTTTCAGGCTTAGAGGACGCCCCCATAGGTGAGGGTACAGGTTTTGTTGAAGGTGTTACTGAAACGTTAGATTGACCCGCCACTGTGGGACTTGGTGGCCTACCAGATCCACTAATTGGTTTTGGCTGAGGCCTTATCTGAGCAGTTGTTGGGCATGTCGTTTTGCTAATTGGCCTTGAATGCATTGTGGTATGGCAAGGCTTTTTTGTGTTGTCATCATTCTTTTCCGAATGTATGCCATGATCACTATCATTGGAGCTGTTATCATTATCTTCATCTCCAGAAAGTTGACCATTACTGCATTGAGATGATGGGCGACTGGTAGATAGAAATGGGAAGCGGGGCCCTAAAAAAGTGGAAAAAAACAAATACATTTTAAAAGCTAGGCGAGCGATACCTGGTTTTACATCTAGTAAAAGTCACTCAGTGATCGCTAAACTCATGTTTATATTGAGTTATGTAATTTGTTTATTATCTTAAATTACCATCATTCCCTGTACACTGGCTAAAAATTCAAATCAGGCTGACAATGGGTTTGTCTACATTGGCAGATGAGCTAAGAGGTAAGGCAAAGAACCACTTACCACTTACTTAAATTGGTTCTAAAGAAATGAAAAGTTTTACCTTAATGCATTCCCTTTATTAAAGTGTTACTAAACACACAATAGTAAAATCAGACTGTATATGCAGTAAAGCATGCTTGTTATACTCACTGTGGAACTTAATCCTCCACATTGTGTAAAAAGGATGTTTAATTCTGTCTTCTCTGATCAATCTGCTGATAAAACAGAGCATTGGGGGCAAGTGGCACATGCTCAGTTTAGTGTGTATTTCTAGAGAGTTTTTTTTTTCTTGGGAGAATGCATGTGATCAGCACAAAGCCAATCAGCGCTGTCAAGACAGGGGGCCAGGGGTCCTGCAGCCTCATAGGACAATCAGGGGAGAATGAAAACTCCTCCTGTAAGCTTTAACCAGTGCTCTTCTGGACACTGATAGAAGTCACAAGACTGCTATATACTACTGATGAGAAAAGGTATTTAGCAGTTTATATGTACTAAAATAATTGCATTTCCATGTACTCTGGGAGACCATATATAGTGAGTGCAGGGTCCTGGGTAGCACTTTAAGGTAAAACATGTTCAAGTATCGGTATTGCCCCTTCACCCCCACTTATAATTACCTGAATCTTCAATCAATCCAGCACTGTGCCCATCTGTAGTGCCCCTCTCCTCTCTCCCCCCTCTCACAGGCTTTGCTGAGACAACGGGAGCCATTGGTTCCTGCTGCTGTCAGTAAAATCTTGTGAGCAGAGAGTGGGGCCGAGCTGCGCTGTGTGTGTCAATAGATACACAGCCTGGTTTGGAATCAAACCTGCATGAGTTCCCCCATAGCAATCAGCTTGCTATGGGGATACTCAGAGAAGAGGATGATCCAGGAGAGTAGGCAGAGGACCTCAGAAGAGGAATGCACGGAGCAGGTAAGTATATAATAGTATAAATAATAATAGTATAAACGGTAATACCTTTACAATCACTTTAAATAGATCAAAATATTGCCAGTCCCATGTTGGTGAGGTGTTTAGGGAGATACAAAGAATTCAGGAAATGTGCAGTGCATAAGGGTAAATCAGGGTAAAACACACACTACACATATATATACATACACACACTCACCGGCCACTTAATTAGGTACACCTTGCTAGTACCGAATTGGACCCCCTTTTGCCTTCTGAACTGCCTTAATTCTTTTTATTCTTGAATATCTATATGCAGTGGTAACCAGCTATATGGTTAGGTAACCTAAAGCGCTGTTTTGCCAATTTTAAGACAGGACTGTAATATAAAATTATGTATGACAGATTTCCTTGTCATAGGCAGGCTGCTTGATATAAGCTGCCCGCTGTCACTTATGATAGCCATAAACAAATTCATTTTTTGTTTGAAAATTTTCTTTTTAAGAACGTTTGTTCGATTTTGTAATTGTTAGTGGGGTCAAATTGAGCAGACTAGAAAACTTTTCTCGGTCAAACCAATTTTTGCACAGTGTATGTGGTTTTTGTTCAGAAATTACATTCGTTTTAAAAATTGAATGTTAAAAGCAAGTGAAATTTTCGAACAACATTCGTCCATTCATCGAATGTACAAAGAATTTTCGTATGAATATTCTCATCCAAAAATCAATAGGTGTATGGCCAGCATAAGACATGTAGCTTGCAGCAGCATGCTTTTTTTTATCACCTGTCATGGTGGGGTTAAAAAAATTAGCCCTTTATAATACAAAAACAGCAGATAATCACTACTATAAGGGGTTAACGTATACTTGGAAACAGTGGCAAGTAAAAGTGGAAGTGATGTAACATTATTTTCCTTCCGCTGTGTGATGAGACACCTAGCTGACAGGTGGGAAGCCTCCCTTTCATCATTCAATGCGTGCGCTGCTAGTAATACCGAGTCATGTCAGAGCTTACTGGGCTTCAAAGAGGACAAATTGTTGTGCCTCTTGGCTGGTGCCTCTGTGACTGAAGAATTTTGCCATGTCGCAAAGTACAGTATCAAAGGTTATGATGGAATATACAGTTTCCAGGAAAACGTCGTCTGATAAGCGTAAGCGCAGTCACCATGGTCAACTGACCAAAAGAGACAAAAGGACATTGCGCAGGATTGTGACCCGGAATAAGAAACAACTGCTGCAAAAGTGGCTGCAGAGCTCAACCGCAGTCTCGTGAAGACTGAGATTGATACCAACCATGTGGGGACTATTTCTCCTTGCTAAAACCAACAATGAGGCACTATTCCTCCTGCTGAAACCAATGTTGGGGCAGTGTTTACTCCACTGATGCAAGGACATTTTTTACTCCCACTGGCCACAGTCAGGCTCCCCTAAAGCCTGAAGGACAGTAAATTGGCCCTTTGATTAAAAAGTTTGGAGACCCCTGGTATAGAGTGCCCCTATAACAAGGTAAAAAAAATCTAACTTTATCACTTCCTTCTCCTGCCCAGGACTACATGTCCCATGAGGCATTCACAACTTCTCAGGCACTTACTGACATGTATGGATGATGTACTGAGCTGTATGTGCACTGCACTGTGTTACTGACATGTATCAATGGTGTACTGAGCTGTATGTAAGCTGCACTGTATTTTACTGATATGTAAACAAATAATGCATTCTGTATGCAGGCCAACTAATTGATTATGAAAATAGTTGACAACTATTTTCACAGTTATTTATAATTGATTATGTCGATTAATTGTTTCAGCCCTAGTAGATTCAATTCACATCAGCAGGGGATCAACTCAAAGATCCCCTGCTGATTGGAGCAGTGTGGGTGGATGTGACATCTGTATTTGCTGAGTTTTGCAGGGTGTACATGGAAAGAGCCCACTGTGCTCTATCGGCGGCTGGGAATAATTTGACTCTGCTGTCCGTTTACACCCAACTTCCCTCTGATCTGATCTGCCTAAGTGGAAGAGGATGGATCCTGGTGTTTTTTTTTTTTTTTTAGTGGACCAGATTGGACCAGGGGTAGGCAGATGTAAGTGGACACAAGTCCGCTTACACACGTTTGTCCATAGGGATGCACAGACTATCTGATCAGGTCTGCCTGAAAAACTGACAGGTGGACCTGATTGGATCTCCCGCGTGAAAGGGGCCTAAGATATACATTGCTATCCTCCATTCACCTCAGCCTGCTAACTGGACAGTGAAAGAACAACAACAAAATGATTAGATTATCACTCCAGTGTCCCAGGTCACACCTTTATCTCATCTGCATTCAATGAGTCTCCTTCCATGACCCGGCACCCTGAAAAGGTTGTGTCTGTTCCCTGTCTCTTCCAAATACTCATGCAGTTGAACAGCACAGTTATAGAAAACATAACGTCAATTGCATCATGGGGTCAGAGGATTTTTTTCATATACATAAACAGAGACACAGTAACCCTCAATGACAACCTGCACATCAAAGGCATGCAAATCTTGATTTTTCCTATAAATGTCAGGCTTGGTTCCACCCTCTTCTGCCTCACAATAGGAGTATTGATTTTATAATATAACAGGTGGCACCAGTGATTTTATAATATAATGGGTGGCACCAGTGATTTTATAATATAACGGGTGGCACCAGTGACCAACAGGTAGTCTTGAGAGACAGAAGTCGGTGGCGCAAATTCTGTCTCTTACAGCAAAAGGCTACAAATAAATTCAGCTGGCTATATCTCTGGATTTTTGGTTGTTTTTAATAAAGATGACCTCTGCTTATGTATTTTCCCATCATATGCTCAGTTTAAACTACCCATGTTTTGTGACAGGTTTACTTCAAACACTTATTAGCAGGACACTGGTACCGTCAAATCTTCTTTCTCTGTTCCGTCCCTCCAACAAGTCCTGGGAGCTATCTCTTTTTCTTTGTCTTGGTCTTCCTCTCCCTCTGCCTCCTCCTCTGCCTCTTGCTGGCCGTGAGCCTCCCTGGCCTCTTCATGATTAGCCCCTTCTCGTGGCTGCTGGTGTCTCTTAATGTGTTTCAGTACACAGAGCATCTGACAGTTCTCAACAGTGGTTTGGTTCAGCCAGCTACATGTGAGCATTATTTTTGATTCCAGGAGATTATGTGATCTTCTACAGAAGCGGTAGTTGCATTCTCCCCCTTGTAAAATATCTGCACATGTGGAGGCGGGTGCAATCCTCTCCTTTGTCACATCTGCCATGCATGTATTTTGAACAGTCCTGGAGGGAAGAGGATCACAATGGAACAAGCAGGGTAAAGTGTTAACAAATATTGGACAGGTGTCATTGTTCTATTAACATTGAACACATAGGTATAAAAGACACAACCTAATGCAACTCTGTCTTCATTAATATGTCAGGTCATGTTTTCAGTTAACCTCTTCCATACCGGGCACTTTTACCCCCTTCCTGCCCAGGACCAATTTTCAGGTTTCAGCGTTCTCACACTTTGAATGACAATTGCGCGGTCATACAACATTGTACCAAAACTAAAAGCAGACATTCAGTTGTGCTACAGTGCTCTTGTGCTAATGTAGAAGATGCCAATAGCAGGAGAAAGTAAAGCAACAGAAAGATCAGCTCATCAGTCTAATGCGTATCCTTTCACTGTTCAGTCACAGGCTAAGGCAAAGACAAGACCTATAAGTATGACTGATTTGCAGAAGAGAAAAATTAGGCCTCTTGTCCTGATATACAGGGGAATGTTGTGTGGCAGAGCTGTGTAAATCTCTTGACAGGACAGACACATTCTTTGACAGGTAAAAATTGGATTTTTTTCTACATACTTACCTGTAAACAGGGGAGGACTGACAACTCATGGGCCCCCCGGGCAATAGGGGATCATGGGGCCCCTGTGTCCTTGCCCAAACTCAAAAAAGCCTATGAAAAAAGTACCAGGGGCATCTCATGGGGCCCCCTACTGACCCCGGGCAGTACCCGAGTTTCCAAATGGTCAGTCCACCCCTGCCTGTAAAATCTATTTCTTGGAGTACATCATGGGACACAAAGCAGGCTATAATCATGACTATGTGAGTTATGTACCACCTACAGGTGAATGGACACTGGCGGATCAATCAAACAGGAAGTCCTTCGCTATATACTCTCTTCTAAACAGGAACTACTTCAGTCTTTGTAGAAAGCAATGAAATTGCAAAAATAGGGGAAGGACCACTGTGTCCCGTGATGTACCCCAAGAAATGGATTTTACAGGTAAATATATTAAAAAAATCCAATTTTCTTTATCATACATCATGGGACACAGAGCAGGCTATAATCATGTCTATGTGGGATGACCTAAAGCAATAAAAATCTGAGGGGTGGGTGACACCATAATAACCATTAACAGTGATCCCTAAGATCCTACTCAGACATTCGTAATATGCTGTAGCCAAAGGCAAAATCCACCGCAGCTCTGACATCCTCCTGGTAAAACCTTGTGAATGTATGAACCAAAGACCATGTAGTGGCCTCCCAAACCTGAGCCATTGACACCTGATGGTGGATAGCCCAAGATGCCCCCACACTCCTGGTAGAGTGCGCTCTCACCCCGAAAGGGTGGGAACTTATCCTTCAAACCATTGGCTTGCATGATTAACTGGCTGATACATGAGAAATAGTTGACCTGGCTGCCGTCTGCCCCACCAGGATTCCTGACATGCCACCAAACTCAATTAAATCCTGACAATCCAAACTATATTCAGAGTATGCAACGATCTTTCCCCGGCTGACTGGACAAGGAAAAAAGAAAGGCAAGACACTGTCCTGATCAGGGGCGGACTGACAACTCATGGGGCCCCCGGGAAATAGGGGATCATGGGGACCCTGTGTCCTCGCCCACACTCAAACCACACCTAAAAAAGCCTATGAAAAAGGTACCAGGGGCATCTCATGGGGCCCCCTACTGATCCCTGGGCCCTTGGGCAGTGCCTGAGTTCCCAAATGGTCAGTCTGCCCCTGGATAAATGTCTTGCTTGACGATAATAAAATCTTCCCATAATTCCCAACATGTTTCAGAACAGAGTTCCTTCTTCAGGGGAAAATTACTGGTATAATGATGAATTAGTAGGTGTATCTGTGTAACTTGATTCAAAAATAGACATCCACAAAGCAGAGGCAGTCTAGCCAAAATCAGTGTAAGATCTTTAAATTCACATCTCCAGCTCTGAAGGGGTTACTGCAAGGATTCCAGTGGGGCACCACCCGAAGGAAAGGCCAATCTGGTCATAGCAGACTAGCAGTCAGAGCAGAGGTATGCTTAGTAAGGAAGTCTTCCTTGACCTAGCCACACACCGCAGGGGCAGACTGCCAACTCATGGGCCCCCGGGCAATAGGGGATCATGGGGCCCCTGTGTCCTTGCCCACACTCAAAAAAGCCTATAAAAAAGTTACCAGGGGCATTTCATGGGGCCCCCTACTGACCTCGGGCAGTGCCCGAGTGCTCAAATGGTCAGTCTGTCCCTGACACACTGTATGCTTTTAAAATGTGGCAGAAACTTTTTTGGTTCTCACTGTACTATGTTATGAGTATTGTATATATGAGGTTCACAGAAAAATGTTATATATAATTGTTCATAGAATTGCTGTGTGATGTTCTAAATATGTATGTTTCAGCGTCTATAAATGATATCACCTATGCACAGAGCCTCATCCCTGAAGAAGGAGTAGACTGAAATGTGTTGGATGCTTTTTATGAGATTTGTAATGTTGATACATCTTTGTATGGTGTTATTGTACTTACTCTCAAAGTAACCATCCATAAAACATTTTTATGATTGACATTTTAAACAAATTGATGTTTAATAAAGATTGATATTTTTTACTTACCTATAGATGCCTTTAAAGTCCCAACCATTGGGGTTTTCTTTTGATACAACTATATTTTAGGGATGTTGGCATCTATTAGAAGTACCTCATGATAATTTTTTTCATAGTCCTCAATGATGCATAGTCTTTGCGTGCCAATTTTTTCTCAGGCTCATCAAAGGTTTCTGCGATTTGCGTTAAAGAATTAAAATTTTTGTTTTGGGCCACTGCTTTTGGGCTGGCCAGAGCCTCCTGAGTGTTCACAAAGCTCCTAGCTCTGATTGGCTGTCCTTGCAGAAGCCAACTTTTGAACCAATTCAAGAAACTTAGTCTTTTGACTCGCAAGGTGGCTTCTTTGGTTTCTATCACTTTGAGAAGAAGAGTTGGCAGCTCTTTCATGTAAGGAGCCGTTCTTGGTCTTGCATGATGATAAGGTGATGTTGCGTCCTCATCTATCTTCTTGCCTAGAGTGGTTTCTAGTGTTCACTTGAATCAGGAATATCTATATTGTTGTATTTATAAATACACTTGGGTATATGCTGGCTTAATTATTTGGTGTATCATATTGCATTTTACCTTTGTCCCATTGGCCATTTTTTTGGAAATAATAATAAAGATTGATTACTTGTTTTTAAATATATTTCAAGTTTCATATCTTCTGCCTCTAATATCCCCTGGGGAATCCTTTGACCTTTTGGTCACCTTTCTTTTTGTACTGTGTATAGGGATGCTGGCAGTATCACAACCTTTCATTATTGGCTCATTATCAGTTTCATGTATGTACGCATATCCACAGTCATATTGGCTGTCATTGTCTGTATCTTAGTATCTTTTGTGACCTGTTTATCCTGACAGACAAGACGATTCATCCTACAGCATGGGACACATTTGGACATTGGTGGCAGTAAGAGAACCTCGGACTCACCTCTGGCAGCAGCTGGTTGTCATTCTGGAACAGCAGAACTTTGATCTCGTCTTCAAACAGTCCGCTCAACTCGTTGGCTTTTAACACAGCACGGTTGTGGTCAGACAAGACATCGTGGGAGAATTTGCAGCGAGGCCTGGAATGGGAAAAAAAAGCAGTGTATTCTGATTCTGAGTTGACAGGAGTTTATAGAAAACGATGAAATGAAATTTCTGGGTAGCATATTAAAATATACAGTATGTTCATATAGTGTCACTCAGCGAGGTAAAAATTGCAGTTCCTGGTCTATTATAATTAAGTCTTGAACCTACCCCAAGCCTCACAGCCTCCTGCTCCAATACTACAGAGACTCAACCCAATTGCCATTCCATTCTTTTATATACCCTATACCCCCCCTTAGCTCAGTATGCTCTTCTTATCGTAATACCCAAAGTTACTACTGTACCTCAGTACCACCTGCAATTCTTTTTATATCCCAATATGCCTAGCTTACCCCTCTAACCCCAGTAACACTTATCATTTCCTTCTTATCACAATACCCCAAGTCACCACTTGTACCTCATTACCGCTTGTTATTCTCTTCTTATCCCAATATTCCCAACTTACCCCCTCTAACCCCAGTACCCTTATCATTCTCTTCTATTTCTATACCTCAGCAGATCCCCTTGTACCTCAGCAACCCTTATCATTCTCTTCTTATCCAAATAGCTCCAACGTACCTCTCTAACCCCATTACCCCTTATCATTGTCCTATGATTGCAACAGCCCTGACTTACCCCTCATTACCCCAATACCCTTGTTATTCTCCTCTTATCCCAATACCTCCAACTCTCCCCCAGTTACCCCAGTCTGCCTTGTCATTCTCTTCTCATCCCAGTACTCCCAAATTAATTCACCTCTTGTTCCAGTACGACCAAGGGTACTTTTTTCTAACCCCACAACCACCAAACTCAATTTCCTCTTTCGCCAAGACTTTGAGAGTCATCCTCCTCCTTGTCACAATCCCTCCACATTTTTCTACTTCAAATCTCAGTTCCCTCAGAATTAGTCTCAATACCCCAAGAATTACTCTCCTCTGTCTCTTAGAACTCCCTTTACCCCCCATCTTTTACCTACCATCGGTTGGGGGGACACTGCCCCCTTAAGTAGTGGCGGCACAGGTGCAATTTGGGGCACTTGTCCTCCTCCTCTTCTTCCCCCTCTGGGCCATTTGGAAACAGGTATCGTTCACAGATCCTCAGCGGGCTCTGGGCCAGGATCAAGTGTGAGCTCTGTGGAAATCTGAGCACCTCATCCTGCAGGATTTGCTCGATCTGCTCTGCTGGAAGATCTAGGAGCGCTCCCAACTGATCCCTCTCCAGCCGACCACCGCACGAGCACAGCAGCTTGGTCAGATAGGCAGTGACTGCAGGGTCCGACATGGTCCCTGGGCCCCTGATACAGTCTGAAGTCCAGAGTCCTTGTAATAGTCTGATGCCAAGACCTTCTCCTCTGTATATGTCTCAGCTTTCTGAAGTGAGGTAAGGAAACAGCAGAGGGCGGTTCATCCACATCACAACTGAGAATAGAAACTAAAACTGCTCTGCACAGCAAGTCACAGTAATCTGTACTGTACTGTACTGACATTGAGGACTGACACGTAGAGAACTGCACAGTGTTGACAACGGGAACACAGAGACAACCTCCAACGCAGAGGGTGTGGACAGAAATTCTATAGCAGTTTCACTGGTGACTCAGACAGAATGCAGATTGTACACATTTACAACTTGCATCGGTAGTACTGTATTTATCTCCTATATGTCCTTCCCAATGAATCTGACATTCACTAAACATTCACTGCAAGTGAATCTTTCTGGTACATGTGTGTTAACCCCTTTGCTGCCACTAATGTGGTGTGAACTTTTACACACACTGTCTGCTTACTCCTGGACGTGATTCTGGTGCCTGTGGATGTGGGGGAACAGCATAGCACGCCTGGAACCAGATAGCAGATGTTGCTGGATAAGGTAGAAGAAGCTCAGCGAACATGTGTTCACTGATCCTTCCTCCAGTGAGTGAACTAGGAAATGCTAAGTATCACATGGCTTCCTTCAGAATGACGAATTAAACTTGCCAGCACAGCTCAAAGCTAGGAAATAACCCAGCCGGTATACAGATGGTGTCCTAGCATCCTAGCATCAATTCAGGGCAATAAAAATGGAAGAGATGAGGGTGGAATCTGATCTGGGGGTGCAATCAAAAAAAAAGTCAGAGGGCATAATGTCAACACTGTATGAGTTACTGACAGTCTTTCACAGTGTCACAACTTGGGTAATACTAGTATGTATTTGGCTGTTTTAGATTAGGGTGATTAAAAAGAACATGTGCCCCCTTATATTAGATGGCCCTATCAGAGTCCCCCTTTATATCAGGAGTCCTAATCAGAGTCCCTCTTCATATCAGGTTCCCTTCAGAGTGCCCCCCAGTTACATCAGGTGTCTCCATCAGAGTGCCTCCTTACATCAGGTGTCCTCATTAAAGTGCCCCCTTACATCAATGTCCTCATCGAGACTATCTTAGTAGCCCCCCTTCACATCTGGGTCCCCATCTGGACCCACCTTACATCCAGGTCCCCATGAGAGCCCCCCATACTTCCAGGTCCCAATCAGAGTCCCCCTTTACATTAGGTTCCCATCAAAGTCCCCCTTACATCAGGTGTCCCCGTCAGAGTTCCCCCTTCCATCAGGTGTCCCCATCAGAGATCCCCCTTAAATCAAGTGTTCCCATCCGAGTTCCCTCTTATATCAGGTGTCTACACCTCCCATCAGAGTGGCCCCTTACATCAAGTGTCCAAATCAGAGTTCCACGTTACATGGATTTTTACCATCAGAGTGCCTCCTTACATCAACTGTTTGCATCAGACTGGCTCATGGATTAGTGGATGCACTCTCAGAGACCTGGGAGGGAACAGCTGAAATCCCACCCTAGCACCCCCCTAGATCCGGCCCTGAAGAGATGGATGCTGCATCGACCTCCCCAATGTAAGTAACAGTGTTGGCCTGAGTTACTACTCCAGCCACACCCCCTGAGGGAGGGGCGAAACACGTTAGTGGAGACCAGGCATGATGTCATATCCAGCTGGTGGAATGCATGCCGAAGCATGACTTCAGGTCCAGTGGTTTTCATGATTTTTATAACTTTTGTTATGTATGTGTAAAGAAATGTAACTGTATTCATAATAAAGAGGTATTACGCTATGTGGGCCCTTTCGCCATTTCTTTTTCTATGTGAGAGGATACCAGCCATGCTATCATAGGAGATGCAGCGGAGGAGAGAATGACCAATGGGAATACAAGTCCCAGTGATTACAGGGAATCTATAATACCAGCACATTAGACTCTTTACAAGTAAGGGTCCGCAGCTGTAGATGAGTGGGGGGAGCAAGGGAGGGGAGCACCGCACAGTAATTTTGGCACTTTAATGTTCTGGAAGAAGATTGCACAACGCCACTATAGACTGAACTATTATTTGAACTTTAAATTGATTTGCGTTTGCACAGATATTGGACACATTTTGGATATTTATTAATGTATAAGGCAGCGCTTTAAGTTGTTTCACCTTGGTTTGTTTCATAAGGGGGATAACCCTATCTCAGCAGCAGCCCTAATATACTTAAAATTTTTATGATATAATATTCTGTAGGCATTTACACATTATTGTTTTTGTCACATTCTTTATTTTCAAAATTTAGTAATTTATTTTTAAACACTTAATAGCCCTAGCGTGAGTAGTTGTGGTATATATGTATTGTGTTACATGTGTTTGGTAAAAAAAAATCCCAATAAGTATATATCAATTGGTTTGCATGAAAGTTATAGCATCTAGTAATGGTGGTGATCAGCAAATTATAATGGCACTGAGTGCCGTGGGCAATCTGAAACTAACTGACACTTTTTGGGAACCATGGGTGTTGGGGTGGGCTGTGCCCCCCCTCCCCAAGCAAACAGCCCCCCTCCTGCCTCCGCCCCAGGACCCTGTGCCCAGCCGCTACTTCTTCCAGGAGCGTGACAAGCAAGGTGAACTGCACAGAGGCAGGGTTGCAATGAGAGCTCCAGCAGCTCCCATGTAAAAGTGTGTGATTAAAGGAAATCTCCCCTGATCACAGAACTTTCTCTGCACACAGCCTGATTTACTGCCATGCTGGTTGTTTATTTCCACCTCCACTCTATACTGAATGATCACTGCACACTGACAGTCAGCTCTGCAGTAAATATGGCTGAGTTGGAATGTGCACTGATAGTTCATGCCTGCTTGATGGACCTGTCGGTATAGAGTGGAGGTAAAGGTACACAATCACCTGGGCAGTAAATAAGGCTGTGTACACTGAAGGTTCTGTTATCAGGAAAGAAAGTTTACTTTAATTTAACCCTTTACTTCTGTTCAATTAATTGTTTGGCTACTCTTAGGCAAGCCATACATTATGCAATTTTCTCTCCTTCAACCCCAAGTTGAAGGAAAGAAAATCTCTCGATTCCCTCATCAACACAGTCTGTGTTGATGGGGGAATCCTTCCTGCAGAGATATTGTTTTCTAACAGCAGGAGTTTTCCCAGCCGTCAGAATACATTCATCACTGCCTGTGGCTATAGCCGCCAACAGTAATCATACAAAAAAAAAACAGACAGGCTGGTTATGCTGAAGTAGACCAATAGTCTGCCCCAGGGGCGGACTGACAACTCATGGGGCCCCCGGGCAATAGGGGATCATGGGGCCCCTGTGTCCTTGCCCAAACTCAAAAAAGCCTATGAAAAAGGTACCAGGGGCATCTCATGAGGCCCCCTACTGACCCTGGGCAGTGCCCGAGTTTCCAAATGGTCAGTCCGCTCCTGGTCTGCCCATACATGGATCGAAACTCGCCAGTTTCTGGCTGAACCTGCCATATTTGGATCCGTCTATGGCCAGCTTTAGACGCACCCCCTATATTTTATCTTTTATTCTGGCTGCCTATAATTCAAGAGGGGCTCTTAGGACCCTGATGTAAGGAGGAGGGGGACCTGACATAACTAGGGAAACTCTTGGGGCTCTCCTTTAAGGGAGTTACTCTAGAGACTCTTATGTAAGTGGGGTGATTCTAGGGACCCTAATGTTAGGGGGGTTCTAGGGACCCTGAGGTAAGGGCGAGGAACCCCAGGGACCCTGATGTTAGAGGGGGGTGACTCTAGGGACGTTAGCAAGCTGGCTGGCAAGTTGTCCAAGAACATTGTTCTCTCCCCCTTTTTTTCACTATGTGATGCCTGTTTATGTGTCCTTGCTTCATAAGCCAGTTATAGACTTGGGCGGGTGGCCACTTTTATGCATGTTTGAGTTTTTGGTACGTGGGTGCACTAGGGCCCTGGTTGCCATTGTGCTACATGCTGGGGTCCAGTGCACTCCTTTGCCTTTAAGAGGGGTGGCTCCCTCAGGTCCACCTGCCCTTGATCTATCCATTAAATGCATGTGCCTCTACTATGGGGACTCATAAATTTTAGAGTTAGGACCACAGATGATCAGGGTGCCGTGTCGTGGCTCTGTGGCTTACGTATGTATTTGCAAATGTGTGCTAACTAAACCCCTGTTATAAATGCATACTGTTAGACAGGTTAATTCGGTTGTTAGCAAGCTGGCTGGCAAGTTGTCCAAGAACATTGTTCTCTCCCCCTTTTTTCACTATGTGATGCCTGTTTATGTGTCCTTGCTTCATAAGCCAGTTATAGACTTGGGCGGGTGGCCACTTTTATGCATGGGTGACTCTAGGGACCCTGATGTAAGGGGGATTACTCTGAGAGAATGTCTCTGAGTACCCTGATGTGTGAGGGATTACTCTGGGGACCCTGACACAAAGGGGGACTCTAGGGACCTTGATGTTAGGGGGGACTCTAGGGATCCTAATGTTATGGAGGGCTCTGGGGACCCTGAGGTAAGGCTGAGGAACCCCCAGGGACCCTGATGTTATGGGGTGACAGTGGGGACCCTGAGAACAGGTGGGCTCAACCTGATGATGTACTCTATATATTGTTTTGTATGTTACTCCTTGTATTCTGTACATTATGTTTTACATTTACACAAGCTTCTCCAACATTTAAGCAAAATCAGTGCTCTGTGTCATCTACTACTGACTCCTGAACTCTGCCTCACTTACACCTGACCTTTGAACTCTGACCTCTGACATACAAACTGCTGACCCTGTACACTGCCCTGCTGACCTCCCATCCTCTGCCCCCTGACATTTTGTTACTGCACCCCACATTAGACAGGCTAGATCATGTTTTACAAATCTGCACAAGGTCACAGCTGAGAACCCAGCATGTGTGGTGTGCTTTGCTTATCCA